CTTTTAAAGGGGTATTAGGTAAAATTGACATTTTTATCTTTATTTCATGTTATAATATCTTTCCCTCATCAAAAACAACCTCAGAGTGTTGCTTTGACTCGTTCATTAATGTCTCAGAAATCCTTGAATCTCCTGTGAACATGTGGAGCTGCCTAAACACTTCCTGGTTCAAAGCTCCGCCTATTTACACAAAGATCCTCCCTCGAGCTCAGACTCAGAGCTCCCGCCCCCACAGAGCACCCCTCCCCCGAAGCGTCGTCGTAAAGACGTGCTGAAGTGGGAATGTCAGAAATGGTAGGAAGGTCGACAGAGGTGATTTCAAGGTGTTTTATAGACTTTGATTCAAAAACAAATGTATTTTTGATATATACAATAATATAATAACTAAATAAAACAAAGCTACTTGAGTGTGGTGTAGAATTATACTATGTGCCTGGAAAATACACAATAATACCCCCGCCTTTAAAAGTTTAGTTGGATTTCTGAAATACTTCTGAAGTGGTGTATTCTTCATGAAAACTAATCATTAAACAAAAAAAAAGGACAAAAGACTCAATTCTCAGTGGCAACAGTACAGAAATACTTCTGCTGACGTGGTCATGTTTTACTCTGCAGTACGCCCCTCCTTTTGTGATCAAACCAATTCCTTTATTTGTGAAAAACACAACGTCACATCGGTGGAGATCAACCCTCTGGACCCTCAGCCWGGAGGACTTCCCTGTGAGAATACGTCTGTCCCCTTCAGAAATAAGGTCTGATTTAACAGTAACTGTACTTCTTATGACCATAGAAGTACTGAGAAAACAAATAACACGTTAAATAATATTCAAACAACAGTTTATGCAGTTTAATAATGGAATCATAGATAAATCCTTTAAATGGTTTGTTTATTTCAGTGCTACACACTGATGAACATAAAGTCTGCAACTTATAAACACGCCAGCGAGCAGTGCCAGTCTGTGAGGGGAACCCTGGTCACCATATCCGACCAGGTGGAACAAGGTGAGGAGTAAAGGAGCAGGTTTTTAATACGTATCCCCTCCTGCATGTAGCAGTAAATCAAGTCTTTATTCTGTAAACTCTGTGTTTCAGACTTCATCAACACTCTGCTGCCGCAGATGGAAAGTTTGGACAGRATCTGGATCGGTCTGAAAATGAACCTGACCCACAGCGAATGGGTCGACAAGTCCTCGCTGGTTTACGTCAACTTTAACCCTCTGCTCCACGGCATGCACCGGTCCATCAAAATCAACGTAAGCTCATTTCCCTTCACCTCAGTTAACTTTAACACAACCTTTACCTTTTTAATTACAGTTTCCTGCTTTAAGAACAATCAATGACTCCGCAGTTTGTGCGACAAAAACAAGTTGCAATGTCTTTAGTTCTGCCTGCAGACATTTTAGAACCTTTTTATAAAAAGAAAAGAAATTATCTGTTCAAGACAAAGTGCACCCCCAGTGAGTCTATGGAGCTAAACCAGTGTCATAAAGTTTGTTCAAAAAATAATCATTTGGAAACTGAAAAACAGGTTTAAGACAGAAAAGAAATGATTTGAAACAGACAAAATAGCTTAAAATTACTTGTCAGATTATTTTTTAATCTTTAGTTTTCAAATATTTTTTGTCAGTTTTAAAT